GGACTCAAGAGTGCTAAGGTCCCGAGGCAGGGGGAGTAGCAAGAAGGCTGTGTGGATGGGGCAGAACAGGATGAGAGCCAGAGAATACTTCATCCTGCAAGCAGAGTAGAAAAAAGGAAAGGCTCAGAGTTTGAGCTACGCTGACCCGGGCTCAAAACTTAGCTCTGCTCTTTATACCCTGTACCGTGGCTCCCCTCCTCTCCTCTATAAAGAGTTGACCACAAAGGGTCATTGGAAATGGATATGGGATGTGAAACTATCACAGGACATGGCCATGCTGACTTCCAAACCACCAAATATCAGTTCCCTTCGTCTTCCCCTGTCACTGGGCTCCTCTCATCTAGCTCCCATTGTGGTTGAATTAGAGGTATCCAGAAGTATGTCAGTCAAGGGCCTCTAGAAGGTTCAAGATACCACCAAGTGCAAGAAAGCAAACTGCAAAGCTGTATGCATATATGTAGAGTATTGTTGGCAAACAGAAACATTTCAGTTTCCATATTCAAAAATCTGGAGGAATCTACACCAAACTGTTAATGGTGGCCATTACTAAGAGGTAAGATTACCAAAGAGTTCGACCACTGGGTTTCTACTCCCTATATGTTTGAACATTTCAACAATGAGCACAAATTATATATGCAAGCAGCAATCACAACATAGGCTAGTATCCATGCAGAAGATTGGCTCTCCTGGCCCTGCCCAGTGTTAGTCCTGAATAGGCTCCATCTCATCCCACACCCACACTCAAGGCCAGCCTGCTGGGATCCAACTTTAGGAACTCTTACATCTTCTCTATGGGGAAACTGAGCAAAAGGGCTAAAGGGAAACTTAGGGTTCTCAGATGAGACCTAGACTACAGGAAAAGGGCCTGCGATCACCATGCTTGGCCAGCGTCTGTGAATTGTAACTGGTTCTGCTTGAAAGGTGATAGAAAGTGAACCACTTTCTAAATAAAATGAAAACCCCAGGCTCGGTGACTATGGCTCAAGCGGCTAAGGCGCCAGCCACATACACCTAAGGTGGCGGGTTCAAATCCCCAC